TAACTCCTATTGTTGTGCACTTTAATGTAGTATGTTACACAGCTGTTCGTGAATGTAAAAGGTCTGCAAGGTTTTAAAGGTCAAAGGTCATATCCAAATTAAATCCAAGATGACTGCCGTCTGAATGTTTACAGCAAAACATCAAACAAAATGACTTTTTGCACCAGAGAAACTTTGCAAGACTATTTTTTTGCTGTGGCACGTCACTCGCACAACTGGAGATCCTCACCTGCCGTAGTATGTTCTCCAGTCACAGGCGATAGAAATGAGCTGCAAAAGGAGCTGCACACAGGACAGTTTGTGGAAGAACTCGGCAGGCTCCCAGTACAAACGCACCGGGCTGAACTCAATCAGGAACTCCACCATTTCTACCACCTGCTCATGGGTGTAAGAGCAAGCCTACGAACATTTACACAGGAAAAAAAAACACATTTCAACACCATCTACAACCAAGCACTCTCACAGATACAGTACATCTCATTTTTAGCTTGCCACAAACTGGCAAGACTTCTAAGTTCAACCTCTTTCCTAAATCCTTCTATTCATTGAAAAGTAACACCATATGTTACAGCGAGTACATTTCAGGCAACAAACCATACGCAACATATCCAGGGTTTAAATATCCTGCAGATATGGTAGAAGGTCCTAGTTCTAGTACGGATCAGGCAGTGGTAGAGTCAGATGTACCTTGTAATAAGGCTGCGGGTGAATCTGCGCTCCTCCCTCTGTACGCTGCAGCGATTGTTTGACCTGCTCGACTTTAATGGCCAGGTGAGCCTCAAAATACCTGCGCAGCGCCATGCAGGTATGTTTTGCAGTCTGTCTGCTTGAGAAGATCTCATCGTCGCTCAACAGCGCACCCTGGTCCTCTGGGTTCAAAATCTCCAGAGTGCTAATCTACAAAACACAAACACCCAGTGAGAAGGACAGAGAGAGTACTAAACACTGACTAAACAGAGTTCAGGCAAACTCTGCATCCAATCAGTGTGTCAGTCCTGATACGTTTACAATATCTATAGACATCATCTATTACTCTTGCATGTGTCAATAAACCCAAACCATACATAATACTTTGGTAACATCATACTTCATACAAAACTACAAAAGAGATTTAAAAATTCTGTCCTTCCAACAACAGTTTCATACAAGCTAAACATTCAAAACCATTTAGGACAAAGGTACAAAAGCATAGGCCTTTAATTTCGATATATGTTAAATTATATATTCATATTAATTCTATATATTTTATTAATTATAAATGTTAACAGCAACAGTACTAACAAAATTTAGAACATTGCTACACAATTATAATACATTTCTGCTGTAATGTTTCAAACCCTTTAGCTTTTATTTGTGGCACAAACTGAATGCTGTCATTTTCAATAGGGATGCACGATATATCGGCCACCATATCGGTATCGGCCGATAAATGCTCATTTTTTTCTGTTATCGGTATCGGCCTGATAAGAAAATTTGGCCGATATCTTAAAGCCGATAAATAATGCATTATTTCCTTCAGAGACACTTCAGATGCGCGCTGTTCGTTTGCAGCCTTTTGTGCAATTGTACGTTGTAATATTGTGTTTATTTGATGTATATCTGATTTATCTCATATAGAATGCGTTTGGTTAAGTTAAAAGAGCGCTTCAGTTTACCGGTGATCGTCTTTAGCTCAGCGCACGCAGCTCAAACAGCAGTGCACAACATTAATAACTATGATTGGGAATGTTGTGTATATAACATTATATACAATTCTGTTTTATTGATCTGTGGCGCATTCATTTTGATTATTTACACGTGTAATGATGTCCAGTGACTTGTTTGCATTATTTATGCATTATTTTATTTATTTGTAAGACTTTTTTATGACTAAATTTGGTAATTGGAGAGTAAAAATATTTTTAAAACGTACACCGTTCAAACTAGGCTGCTTATGTTGAAGTGTTTGGGATGTGGCTTTTAATGATGAGACCTTTTTTGTAATCAGGCTCTCAAAAAGTATGTAACAATTTGGATATAGATTTATCGGCCAACATATCGGTTATCGGCTTTCAAAAATAAAGAATAATCGGTTATCGGTATCGGCCAAAATTTTCATATCGGTGCATCCCTAATTTTCAACAGTTTGAACATAGTCCATACTATAAATGACCATCCAGTTTCATTAGATCTCCTTTTGTTTCATTTAAGAAAAAAAATTAAACCGGGTTTGAATGACATGTGGGTGAGTAACTGACTATTAGACCTTTTTTTATTTTTTGTAAACCATACTTTTTAATGCACTTTTTTTTTAATCATTTTTACCAATTTAAGTTGGTCTGCTAGTCTTCGCTAATCTGCCAGTCTGACCAAGCTTATTGGTTAACGAGTTTCCCAGGCCGCCCAGCTGAAAAGTGCCTAAAAACCTCTCTAAATCCATCAATCTAGACCAGTCTGACCAGTGGAAAGAAGCTTAGTGGCCAGCTGCGTTTAAGCTGTGTGTCCTGTTAGTGTTTTAAGCAGTGCACATTTATTATGTAGTAGAAATATGAACTTTGTAGCACAGGACCCGCCTCCCCTCATGTGATCACCATCCTCCAGTTATCAATGAGCACCAGGCCTCCAAACAGCCCTTCACCTCGGACTACACCCGTTTCTCTTTAAAGGGATATGCCACTCATAACTTAAAGTTCGGTCATCGTTTACTCACCCTCATGAGCTTGATAAACAACACTGGAGCCCATTGACTTCCATTGTACGTAGAAAAACAAAAACAGAGACATTTCTTCAAATTAGGGCTGCTCGATTATGGTAAAAATCATAATCACTATTATTTTTGGTCAATATTGCAATCACGATTATGAGTGGGCCACATGACCAAACCTTTATACGAGTGATTTATTTACAGATAGTAGTATATCTCAATGATGTATTTTCTGTAAATATGTTTGCTATGACATCTACATTTTAGAGACCAGCGAAACTTCACAATTCTCAAAACCACAGCAGAATACTAGGGTAACTCATTAGTAAGAAACAAAAAAAAAAGTCCTCATTATTGAAAATAATTAAACTGTCAGTAATACAATAAAAACAAACAAACAAAAAAGGACAAATACAATAGAAAAAAATATATAAAAATGAAAAAGTGCTTTAAGTTTTTTATGCAAGACTAAAGTATTCAGCGAACAGCCTTCTACAGAAATAATCTAACGTAAAATAAAACAGCATAGTCTTCACTGTAAGAATTTATCTTTGCTTCTTATTAAAGCTACAAAAGTCCTTCAGTCAAGAGCAGTGAGTGATTCTGTCTGTCTTTTGTTGTTTGATTAATATTAAGCACACAGTCGGCAGCAGGAATATTAGGCTGCTGTCACTTTAAGAGCTGCACAGATTCCAACTTACTATAACGCATATTTTCATTCTCAAACGTTTACATTCACTTAAGACATAACAGACGAGGGTTTACATGAATAATCACCAAGTGCCACATTTTGACACCTTTTTGCATGTATTTAACCGTTTAGGCGCACACCTTAAGCTAAAAGAAAAGCCTCCTGAGAAACAGCGCAAGTGCCCTTTCAAGCTTTTAAAAACATGAATAAACCGAATAATCTTTAATAAATCAAGCACGTCCCATTTTGAAAATGTCACGTTACATGATTTTACTGATTTGCACGTGAAATTGGGCTCCGCTGGAATGGGGCATGATAATCATTTTATCTCGATTATTGTATTTTCATAATCGTTGGAGGCCGAAATCGAAACTGAATTTTGATTAATTGCACAGATCTACTTCAAAATTATCTTTTCATGTTCCACTGAAGAAAGTAATACAGTTTTTGGTGACATGAGGGCAAGTAAATGATGACAACATTTTTGGTCAGAGGATCTCTTTAACCCTTGTTGTTTTGTCTTTCTAACTGAAGCCTCTGTGAAGCATGATTCCTGCGCAAACACAAAGAAGTGCATACCAGGTTGACGAGCCGCCGCAGCCCGTCCTGATGGTCGAAGAGCTCGAGCACGGCTCTGAAGGAGAAACAGATGGAGAAGAACATGGTGGCGTGGCAGCAGCCGGAGGCGTGAGAGCACTCCAGGAGCCACAGCGTGTAGCTCACCACCTCCGACAGCAGCGAATGCGGCAGCATACACACCTGACACAGCCGGAGGAACCAGACAGACAACAGTAAGACACAGAAGAGCTCTGGCTGTGATCACCGTATCAGCACAGCATCTTACCCTCTCCATAGCATCCTGGTTGTATGCCAGGTAATAGAGGCACAGAGAGACGCCGGTGGCAGCCATGGAGGGTCGCGGGATCTCCAGTAGCTTTGGCACTCCGCCATGCGAGACAAACTCGGCTGCAAACTTTTTATGAAGGAGGAGAGACGCAAGATACTGAAAGACAGAGAGAAGAGAGAGAATGGGTGAATATGCATGTGTCCGATACAAATCATTCAAATAATCACTGCGTCATCAAGTTATTTAAATATGTTTGGTTCAAGTCTGAAGATCTTGCTCTAATTAATGTACAACAGCCATCAAAAGTGGAGCAGGACAAAACTAACCATTCTGTAGTATGAACATTCACTATTAACAGTTTTTGCATAATAAAGCAATTAAGGTAGTTATGTTTAGGCTTGAGGTACGATTAAGGCACTAATAAACAGCCAATATGCTAGTAATATGCAGCTAATAAGCAACTAGTGACTAGTGTTTCCTAATCTGATGTGTTACCGTAAATATTTCACATTTTATAACAAGTACAAATAAGTCTGTAATCATGTCAGCACCAAAGGCTATTTTTACAGCAAAAACATGTTTAAAATAACCACAAACTACAGAAAAGCTTACAACAGCACTTCAAGTCAAACTCCTCCTGCTGCTTCAGCTGTATAGAGCAATTCACACACACAGACACATTGCTCTCAAACCTCATTTTAAGTATAAATCATAAGGTTTTTCGTGATCATGAGAAACATTCAGTCATGCGTGTCCAAACATTTGAGCTGTAGTGTGTGTGATATCTTTCAGGTACCTTCAGGGCTTCAAACGTGAGCTGAACGTCGTTCGTTTGTTTCAGGTCCATGTAGTGCATCAGCAGCTCACGAGCACCAAGCTGCATGAAAACAGCCAACAACTGCACACACAAACACAGACATACAGATTCCTCTGTGACCAGCAGCATCACTAAACTCATTCAGGTCAGTTCTGCTATTGATTACTTCTCACACTTCTTTAAAACGGGACATTCACACAGGTGTGAAGAGCAAAGAACCTGGAACGACATGAAAGTTTTCTTTTTGGGTGAACTCTCTCTTTAAAAACAGAAGGGACTGCGTGTTGTTTTGCAGAGCAGGATGTGGATACGTAATGTTCTCCTGAAAGATGCACCATTCACCACAAATGCAAACACCACGATTTTATTCCTGCGCTGAAAAATTCTGTTCACAGCTAGCTTATTTATTGTTTTTGATAAAGCTAATGTTTGGAAAATACGTTTGCATTCCAATTTTTTTCCAGTAGTTATTACTTCTAAGGCAACTTCTTTTGTTTTGCTGCTCTCCTCTCCGCATTCGTCACTGCTCACCAGATCTTGCGCTACGCCTACATCCGCCGGAATGAGCGCGCGCACGACAGTTAGCGGAAGCTAGAGATTATGGTTTATAAAGTTTTAAATATTTTTTCTTTAAAAAAAAAAGCATCGATTCGCTTCAGGAGGCCTTTATTCAGCCCCGGAGCCATATGAGGCACGTTATATGATGGATGGATGCGCTTTATTGGACTTCTTTTGGACTATTGAAAAATAACACCCATTCACTG